GGGGGAGGTCCTGGGTGGAGTCAGCTTCACCTGAGTAGGTGGCACCTCAGAGGGGTGTGTGAGAGAGAAGAAGGGCAGAGTATCCACAGCCAAACCAACAGAAAAGCACATGAGAGAGAGAGAGGTTGAGAGGGAGAGATTAGAGGGAGAAAGAGAGAGAGAATGAGAGAAAAGGGTTGAGGGAGAAAAGATAGAAATTGAGAAAGAGAGGGAGAGGGGTTGAGAGATTGAGAGGGAGAAAGAGAAAGAAAGGAAGAAAGGAAGAATGAAAGGAAGGAAGGAAGGAAGGAAGAAAGAAAGAAAGAAAGGAAGGAAGGAAGGAAAAAAAGAAAGAAAGAAAGGAAGGAAGAAAAGAAAGAAAGGAAGGAAGAAAGAAAGAAACAGTTTGAGGAAAAAAACACAACAGGGCTAGCAATAGGCATGAAGACTGATGCTTGGGGGTGGGGGTGCTTGAAAGGTGTGTGGAGGGATTTAGAGTTTGGAGGTGAGAGCCACAAGAGCCAGTGTGGAAAAGACCAGAGAGGCAGGTCCAAGCAACTGGCATTGGAGAGGGGTCAAGCGAGGTAGAAAAAGGCCAAGAGGACTGGGAGTGAGACCTGAGGTGATAGATTGGGGTGTGGAGCCCCTTCCTGCTTTTGCCTCTGCCTATAGACAGCTACAGACCCCCAGCCCCAGCTGGACCTTATGCCCTAATGTCCCAGTGACATCTGGCCTGGTGTCACTTCAAAGGCTGTCTTAGTGATAAGATACCACCATCATCTCCTGGAGGCTGGGTTCTGAGATACATATGTGCAGTACCACTGATGGCCTGCAGGAGGTGCTGTGCCCCACTGTCTCCAGTCTCAGAGCTGGGGCTGCAGGAGGGGCGTGGGACAAAAGAAGGGGGTTCTGCCACAGCCAATACAAATCTCTTCTGGCTGAGTAGACCCTAGGCAGGGGCACTGGCAAGGCCCTGCCTGCTGGGGTATGAACCTTCCAAAGAGAAAGGGACAATAATGACCTCCACAGGCTCTCCCTCACATCCTCTAACTGGCCCCAGGAAAGCAGGAAAGGAAGTAGCACCCGGTGCCTGCTCTAAAATGAGCAGCCCTGGGCTCATCAACATCCCAGAGTGGACAAAGGACAGCTTCCTCAACTGCTCCCTAGAGACCCAGATCTGCCACTGGCATCAGAGCCCTGGAAACAAGGGATGCATGCAGGTGGGTTCTTGGCAGGCAGGTAACTGAGCCGGTGATGTCTTTGGCCTTTTCTCTGAACTGTCTTCTAATTTTGTGAATGTCAGAACCCAGAGCATTGCTTCTGGGCCCAGGATTTGGAACATAAAATGGGTTGAGGCCAGGGGTAAAGAAGGGAAGTGTGGATAGAGTCTCCCCCCCCCATTTTTATTATTATTTTTGCTGGTACGGAGGCTTGCACTCAGGGCCTGGGTACTGTTCCTCAGCTTTACCCTCAATGCTAGTGCTCTACCGCTTGAGCCACACTTCCACTTCTGGCTTTTTTTTTTTTTTGTGGTTCATTGAAGAGTCTCTTGGACTTTCTTGCTTGGGTGGATTTCAAATTCCAATCCTCAGATCTCAGACTCCTGAGTAGCTAGGATTGCAGACATGAGCCACTAGTGCCAGGTTCCTTAATTTTTATCAAGCTCTTGAAATGGGGGTAATAAAGTTACACCAATGAATAGCCCAACACAACATAGGCAATGTAATAAAGATAAAGCAATAAAAGGTAGGGCTGCCAGCCACTCCACATGGGTATAGCTTGTAGAAATAAAAGTAATTATCACCTGTGCAACCTGGCCGGCCCAAGCCAGGTGCTTGGAAGAAAACAATTTCAGAACTTTATTTCCTAGATCGAATGTCGATAATTGGATGTATTTATAAGTCTCCCTGGAAGAAAAGCAGTTTGTGATTTCAAGATGAGAAAAACGGCCTTCCAAACAGTGAAAAACACTATATTCCCCATTTTTACAACAAAAAGAGCTTGTTGGCCAGGTGCTGTTGGTTCATACCTGTCATTCTAGCTACTCAGGAGATTGAAATATAAGGATCATGGTTCAAAGCCAGCCTGGGCAGGAAAGACTATGAGACTCTTATGTCTAATGAACTAGCAAAAAGCTGGAAATAGAAAGCTAAGTGACAGCAACCAGGCCCTGAGTTCAAGTCCTAGTACTGACACACATACATACATGCATGCATGCATGCACGCACGCGCGTGCGCTCGCACACACACACATACACACACACACAGTTTCCTTCAATGCTTTCTCATCTTGAATGCCTCACAAACTCTGCTGAAGCACCCAACAGAGACTACTTCATCTGAGGTAATGACAGGGGGCTTTTCAGGGAAGGCCCTTTGGCTGATGTCTGCTTCTTTTCTACAGGAAGATGGATGCCCAGGTGGCTGGGCTGCAGGGAGGAGGGGATGAAGAGCCAGACATGATGTGGGATTCCTGTGCTTTATAGCCTTAGGTGTGGCCTCAGAACAGGGAGAATTATAGCTGTCGTAGCCATTGTGTATGCGTGCATGCATGCACATACCACATCAGGGCTTAAATATAGGGTTGGATGCTATCCCTTAGTTTTCCCCCTCAAGGCTTATGCTCTAACCCTTAACCCATAGCTCTCCTTCCAGTTTTTTGGTTGCTAATTGGAGGTAACAGTCTCATGGATTTTCCTGCCTGGGCTGGCTTCGAACTGTGATCCTCAGATCTCAGCCTCCTGAGTAGTTAGAATTGCAGGTGTGAGCCACCAAGTGCCTGGTCTAAAGTCTTCGCTTTCTCTTCTGTCCTAAAATTCTCTACCACAGGCACTGGGCTTCTAGAACTCATGCCATACTAAGTCACTCGGTGGAATCATGGGCCACAAAGCTCATGATCCAGCATCTAGGCTACTCCAATATGGTCCCATAAAGCTCTCAGCAGACCAGAGTCCTTGATGAGCCAAAAGAGATGGACCTATGTTCCCCCTGGCTCTTCTCCCCATGGCTCCAAAGGTGATTCATGACTCAGAGCAAGGCCAGGCTATCTCCGGATAACCAGCAATCACCAGGGTCCATAGAGGTAGGAGAGAGTGTGGCCTGGATGGAAGAGCGAGCAAGAACAGGTGGCACTGCCAGCCCAGCTGTCACGATGACAAAGGAGTCTACCTAGGATGATACTCCTTCCTCAGGTGTCTGGCTGGGGGAGAGGTCCCTCGGGAGAGCAATGATGCTCTGGTTACTGGGCTTGCACAACATAGTCAATCTCCTAGCTACCTATAGGCCATCCCAAGGGCAGATTGCTTTACCAAGGCCCTGCATTACCTTGGAGGAGGCAATGTCATAGTATATAGGCTGCCTGGTATTTTTTTTTTCTGAGCTGATTTACACACTCCCACTCCAACTCTGTAAAATCAATCTTCTCCCAATTGCCTCCTGGCTCCCAGCAGCGTCCGGGTCTGCCCTGCATGAGTAACTACGTAATCTTCTCCCACACCCTGAGTGAGCGGCTTCTCCCAGATCTTTGCCAGATTCTCTGATGGGCAGGAGAAGGGAACAGGAGTTTCTGATGGGGGAGGACTGAGGGGGAAAGCAGGCTTATGAAACTATTGGCAGGCCCCTCACTATTACTTACTGCCCATGGACAAGGTTGTTCTATTCAGTGGGTGGGAGCTCACCCCTTATTATTTTGTAAATATTGAAGATAACTACATCTTTTATATATTAATAAGTACACACAGCTGGCAGTTGGCTTAATTTTGGCATATTTCATGTCAAAATAAGTAGTAGCGCTGTGATTAGCTGGGGGCAGGTTTTCCTTTCACAAAATCAAATTATTATTGTTATTGTTATTTTAATGCCCCTTATAGCCGATCATTGGTAGCTCATACCTGTAATCCTACTCACTCATGATGCTGAGTCTGAGGATCTCAGTTTGAAGCCAGCCTGGACAGGCAAGTCTGAAACTTATCTCCAATTAATCATCAAGAAACAGTTAGTTAGCTGGGTGCTGGTAGCTCATGCTTGTAATCCTAACCACTCAGGAGAACTGAGAATCACGCTGAGAGCTGAGGATCACAGTTCAAAGCCAGCCCAGGCAGGAAAGTCTGTGAGACTCTTATCTCCAATTAACCACCAGAAAACCAGAAGTGGTGTTGTGGCTCAAAGTGGTAGAGTGTTAGCCTTGAGCAAAACAGCTCAGGGACAGTGCCCAGGCCCTGAGTTCAAGCCCAAGACTGATTTTTTTTTTAAAGCAGTTAGTGGAACTGTGGCTCAAGTGATAGAGCTCCAGCCTTGAAGGTAAAAACTAGGGGACAGCACTCAGGACCTGAGTTCAAACCCCAGTACACAAACAAAAAAAATGTCCCTTATTAGGGAAGGAGTCAATTCTTTTTGTTTGTTTTGTTGGTCCTGGGGATTGAACTCAGGGTCTGGGCGCTGCCCCTGACCTCTTTTGAGCAAGGCTAGTGCTCTTACCACTTTAAGCAACAGCATCACTTTCGTTTGTCTGGTGGTTGGAAATAAGATTCTCACAGACGTTCCTTCTTGGGCTGGTTTCGAACAGCCATCCTCAGATCTCAGCCTCCTAAGTAGCTAGGGTGACGGGTGTGGGCCACCGGTGCTTTTCTGAATTGAGTCTCTTCACTAAAGTAGCCACTGCATAAGGGGCAAGAGAGTGTTAGCCAAGTTCTCAAAGACAGGACCCCTTGGGCCTTTCGGCCTCAGTTTCCCCATCTGTATAATGGTCTTAAGGATAGAGCTCCCTCTGTTAGATTCAGCCACATGGCCCCGCCCCTGACTTGGCCATAGCCCGGCTCCCGAACCAGGCCACGCTTTCCCTACTGAGACTGGCCCTGCCCACTCCAGGCCCCGCCCCCACATGGCCATGGCCCCGCCCCACCCACCAGACCACCAGTTGCAGGCCAGGTCCCGCCTCCCCGGCGCTATCCCCGCCCCCTGCCCCGCCTTCGCCCCCTGCTCCGCCCCGCCCCCGCCCCGCCCCCCACTAGGACCCTTGCCGGGTTCAGCTGACGCGGCACTTCACGTGACTCGGGTGCTGAGTAAACATGGCGTCCTCCGCGCGGTGAGTTCTCGTTCCTCTCCCTCACTGTCTCCCGCGGGCCCAGAGAAGGTTCGGTCGGTGTTCTGCGCCGGACAAGTGGGTGACAGCCCCAGGCAGCACGCCGCGGGTCCTGCCTCGGAACGCGGGGCGGCGAGCTCTGCTCCCGGCCTGGGCCGGCGCCGGTGCCCGCCGCTCCCCTTCACTCTCCCCGTGGCCCATGGGCCCCCGGGGGCTGCCGAAGCCCCGGCCGCACGCCTGGGGCGACCCGGGTCAGTGCGGGTGCTCTCGGCCACGCCCCTCCGGTCGGCGTGGGGCGGGGACGCCTCGTTCCCCGCCACGTTCCTCCTGGGGGGTGGGGGACGGTGTTGGAGGTGGGCGTGGACTCGCCCCACTTTCCCCAGTTAGTTCTGGGGGGCCTCAGAGAAGCCTTCCCTGAGCTCTTCGTTACTACCTAGTAAGCTTGTATTTCAACTTGCTGCCTTCTTACTTAGAAAGAAAGGCAGGGCCTGACTCAGAGCTCAGTGCATTCAGTAGTGGCCTCATAACTCTACAGAATGAAAAAAAAAAGAGTGAATGGTGCTGGTGAGGACAGATGTGGAAATGTTGGGAGAATGTCATAGCGAAAGGGAAATCTGAGCTGAAGTTGAACTGTTTTTATTTTTTCAAATTTGGTTTTGGGTCACTTCTGGGGCTTGAACTCAGGGTCTGAATGCTGTCCCCTAGCTTTTCTGCACAAGGCTGGCTTTCTACCACTTGAGCCACAACTCTGCTTCCCGCTTTTTTGCTGGTTAATTGGAGGTGAGCGTTTCATAGACTTCCCCGCCTTGGTTGGTTTTGAACCTCTAGATCTTCAGATCTCAGTCTTCTGAGCAGCTAGGATTACAGGCATTACTCACCAGCACCTAGCAAGGTTGAGCTATAATGACAGAGTTCAGAGGGTCCTGGGGACAAAGAAGAGTGGGGTACATCCCTGTGTTAGAGTGTGTGGTGCTCTGAGTGGCCTCTGTAGACTTTCCTGAGTGGCTGGAAGGCTTGCAACTGTAGCTCCTCCTGGCTTAGCTTCCTAAGTGGCTGGATTACAGCTGTGGGCCACTGGATTATAGATATGGGCTACTGCACCTGATTGGAATCTACTTCTGAAAGAGCTTGCTTCCCTGGCCTCTCAGATCAGTGGGAGAAGGTGTGGGCCTGGTGGTGTAGGGTGCTAGGAAGGTCAGGGTTACCAGAGACAGCACCCCAGATGCCAGTTTGGGAAGCAAGGTCAGTATAGGGAAAACTGGAGGTGGAGGAATGAATAATTTTGGGAGGTGAGGAGAATGGCAGCAAAGGTCTCAGATGGCCTCCAAAGGCTGAGAGAGCCTCAAATGTACAAGTCAAACATCTAGTGGGTGCCTACTGTGTTCTAAGAACAGCACTGGGCCTATCCTTAGACCATTGGAGCAGATGGACACAGAGGACTCCGAGTCTGTCTACTATCTCTTGTCTTGGCATGTGCCAAGGAGGGACATGGACTCTGAGGTCAGTTAAGTGCAGGATGACCTTTGTGCTTGAAGACCTTTAGTACCAACCTTAAGCAATAAGCCACACTTCAGGTAGACAACTGTGTAGACTGAGTCCCAGTAGGGAATGAGGGAGTTCAGAACCTGAGCTTTGAACCCTGCCTGTGATCCTGTCTGAGAGAGCAGAGAGCAAAAGATGCAAGCTGCTGTCTGCTTAACCCTAGGCTGGAGGCCAAAGGTGGGGAAACCAGGGAGCCTATGGGTCTTTTGGCTCTATCTGGCCTGGCCAGGTAGTCCTAGGGAGTTTGAGGGGCTGAATTTGGGCTTCAGTGCTCCAGGATAGCCTATGGCCTGCACCTCTGTGCCTCTGCTTTCCCATAAGTACAGACGAGCCAGGCTGGGAACTGGCTGGATGCTGGAAGGAGGATTCTTGAGGTAGTGCTGGTTGTTTGGGTCATCATACAGAATGGGTGAGGGGGTAAAACATAGGTCTTGGAGAGGGACACTATTGGAAAGGAGGGGAGGCCTGGCAGTATGGGGAGTTTTCAGAGCTTGTCAGGGCTTCCTAGCCACCCTAGGCTAGTGTGGGGCTGCCCTTTAGAACCTTTGTGTGTGTGTATGTGTGGGATTATCTTTGTGCCAGAACTGGGATTTGAACTCAGGGCCTGGCTGTTATCCCTTAGAATTTTGTTGCTCAAGGCTGGCCCTCTACCACTTGAGCTACAGCTCCACTTCTGGCTTTTTGGTAGTTAATTGGAGATAAGAGTCTCATGGACTTTCTTGCTTGGCTGGTGATCTCAGATCTCAGATTTCAGAGTTGCTGAGATTACAGGCATGAGTCACCAGCTCTTGTCTCCCACTCTTTACCTGAATGGTGCTCTGGGAGTTGCAGAGCCAGCAGGGAGCAGTAGATGACCTGCCCTGGGTGTGTACCTATTGAACCATATGCAGTGCTGAAGTCCGCATTCTGGAGTGAAAGTGTCTGAAAGAAGCCACATTCTTGGTCTAACGCTGGTCCCACCCGAAAGTGAACCTTGTGCTCTTGAGCAAAGGCTTCATATTAGCCCTGAAGGGCTGGGGGTGGGGTGAGTCTGTGGGAGCCAGATTGACACTTGAGTGTCTCTTTGCCTTCTCTGGCTTTTCTCCAGGCCCTAGACCTGACTCTATGCAGTCCTGTCTTGTGTGTGCTTGAACTTCTGAGCCTCCTCAGAAGAGAGGAAGATGGGAATGAGGAATGCTGGCTAGGTGCCTTGAGGCCCTTTCTAGCCAGGATGGACTGCTTGGCCTTAGTGGATGGTTTGGTAACTGGAACATCTATGCCAAGCCTAACCCTAGGCTGGAGGCCAAGTATGGGGAAGCCAGCTAGGTTTTGGCTGGCCTCTCTTGGTGGGAACTTAGCAATTATTCAGAAGTGGCTTCACGTTGTATATAGTTTGGGAGTCTTGTTCTGTTTTGTGCCATAGATCCCATAAATACCAGTACAAATCTATGTACCTAACTTGGTCAGTGTTGCTACAACAAAATACTCGAGACTGGGTACAGTTTTATACAGTGGAGAAAAAAGGGATTTGTTAGGGCTGGGAAGGTGGCTCAGTGGTAGAGTGCTTGCCTTTTATGCATGAGGCCCTGGGTTCAATTCCTCAGCACCATGTAAGCAAAAAAAAGAAAAGGAAAAAAAAAGGGATTTGTTTTGGCTTACAGTTGTAGAAGCTGTGCATCTGGTGAGGGCCTCATTCTGCCTTACAGCTTGGTGTTGTGGCTGGCGTCACATGGTGGAGGCACGTGTGGATAAGCACCTTGTATGGAAGTGGGGCCACATGGCAGGAGGATCCATTCAGAAAATGATTGTAACAACCCATTTGCATTATAACCATTCTGGTCCTGTAATACCTAGTCACTCTAATGAGACAAATACAAATTATAGCCGGTTCTGGGGCTTAAACTCAGGGCCTGGGCACTGTCCCTTAGCTTTTTCCTTCCAGGTTGGCACTTTATCACTTTTTTTTTTCCCTGCTTAGTGAGAGAGAAGAATTTCATGGACTTTCCTGCTTAGGGCTAACTTTGAACCTTGATCTTCAGATCTCAACTTCCTGAGTAGCTAGGATGACAGATGTGAGCCTGGCCCGTGGTTTCCTCTGTTGCTTCTTGGAATAGAGTCCCTTGGGCTAGGGTGTTAGAGACTGTGCTTTCTCACTTAGTACCTGCAGGGCCAGTAGATTCACAGGTGTCACCAAGATGAGCCCATACATCCTCCTGGCTGAATGTGGCACACAGGCCGGCCTGGCCTGCTTGATCATCTGACTGCTTGCCCAGCCTTCCAGGAGGAAGGAAACACATGTGCAGGAAGGGGTAGCAAGGCTGTTGCCTGTGGGTGCTTGGCCCTTTCTGGCTTGATAGCCTAAGGGTCTGCTTCCTGTCCCATAGGGCTGACAAAGCACCTTCTGATGGGCACAGCCAGAAGCGTAGTCCATGTGTCCTCTAAGGGTGGCACACTCAGCAGATATTTATTAAGTTCTTGCTCTGGCTGCCAGGATGGGGTGCCCATCTAGAAAGCATATCTAGGTGTGTGATTCATAGTGTCCAGTGCATCTTTCTGTTCCACAGGGATGACAGAAAGATAGTGTAATTGAGGGACAGTGTACCAAGAAGGTCCAAGGCCCTCTCAGCAGAGCCACAGCTGGGGTGGTAGCAGTGTTAACTGGTCTGTATGTTGGCCTTGTTCTTTTGTCTTCATAGCCCTTCCTTCTCCCTGGGGAATGAGACCCTGAAGGTGCCACTGGCACTCTTTGCCCTGAACAGGCAGCGCCTGTGCCAGCGTCTGCGGAAAAACATGGCTGTGCAAGCCGGCTCGGCTGTGCTGCTGCAGGGTGGTGAGGAGATGCAGCGCTACTGTACAGATACCTCCATCATCTTCCGTCAGGTGAGGCTCTGCCTGCCTCCTGTCCTCAGGGCAGGCTGTGCAGGTCAGGGGCAGTGTCTCTGGGACCCTGGAGAGGCCAGTGTGGGGATAGGAAGTATACAGATTGGATGAGGTGACCTTGGCTGAGAATTGTCAGCAGCACTGGGTCCCCAGGAACAACACTTGCCCAGGAAGCCAGGGAGGGAACTGAGACCCACAGAGGAAATGACCTGCCAAGAGGCAAAACATCTTTTGATTCTATACTTAGTTCTCTTTTTGTCCCTGCTGCCTGGTCCAGAGCTGCAGTCTCACCACAGTGGGAGCTCTAGAAGCTTCCTCAGGGGCGGGCAGATCTAAAGCCACGGTCATCCAACATCTACTTCAGCAGGGGACGGGAATGCAGAGCGGGAGGAGGGGTCTAGTTTAGAGAAGATGAGGCAAGGGTTGACCTCCCCAGCTGGACCCCACCCCAGCTGCCTCTGCAGAGCACAGATGAGCTGAGATCCTCTGCCAAGAACAACCCTAGTTCTTGGCCAGGAAGCCATTCCTGCCCAGAGGGCCCTTTCTGTCCTCAGAAGCCATATGCCTATAGTCAAACAGTCAACATTTTCTTTTTCTTTTTGGCCAGTCCTGGGGTTTGAATTCAGGGCCTGGGCACTGTCCCTGAGCTTCTTTTTCCTCAAGGCTAGCACTCTACCACTTGAACCACAGTGCCACTTCTGGCTTTTTCAGTGTATGTGGTGCTGAGGAATAGAATCCAGGGCTTCATGTAGGCTAGGTAAGCACTCTATGGCTGAGCCACCTTCCTAGCCCAACAGGCAACATTTTTTTGTTTTGTTTATTTTTGTACCAGTACTGGGGCTTGAACTCAGTATTGTCCTTTGGCTTTTTCCACTTAAGGCTGGTGTTCTACCACTTGAGCCATACAGCTCCACTTCTGTGTTTTTGATGGTCAATTGGAGGTAAGAGTCTCCCACACTTTCTTGTCCAGGCTGGCTTCGACCCATAGTCCTCAAATCGCAGCCGCCTGAATAGTTAGGATTACCAAGTGTGAGCCACTGGCTTAAGGAAGGTTTTTTTGTTTTTCCCCTGACTAGTCTTGATGCTTTTCAAGATTTGTGTATTTGTCACTTAAAAACCAATCTCCTAAATTCAGCTGTGGGCTTCCTCACTAACGTTATTCTGGGCTCATCTCGGAAGAGCTCCTCCTCCACTTTGTACCTTGCTGACGCATTTTAGCTTGATTCTTGCTGCTGAACACTGACATCATCAGCTACCCCAGGGAATAGGAGGAGGAGTAAGAAGTCCTGGATGGAATGAGGCATCTGGCCTGGTGTCTGACTAGTGCTTGGAGACACCTTGTCGTGTACCTGGCACATGCACCTGTACCACAGCATGAGACAGGAGTGGAGATCCATGGTGTAGCTAGGTGGGCAGCTCACAGCAGAGAGGTGGGCTGCACAGGGCTGGTAGGGGGACAGTTTCCAAGGGGGAAAGGGATAAATCCTTGCCTGGAAAGAGGATGTCTTCACTCTGGCACTTCCTGTTTTGGTCCTGGTCACTGGGTAACGAGGTTCCCTGTTGCTGCCACAGGAGTCCTTCTTTCACTGGGCATTTGGCGTCATCGAGTCAGGCTGCTACGGTGTCATTGATGTGGACAGTGGGAAGTCAACTCTGTTTATTCCCAGGCTCCCTGACAGCTATGCCACCTGGATGGGAAAGTAAGGAGCAGTTCCCGTGTCATCATTACCATGGCTGCAGATGGTCACTGGCGGGTGGGCGGGGGTGGTCAGGAGGGACAGAGTAGTGGAGTTACTTTGACCACAGTGGGGCAGTCCCCCTTTATGTCCTGAATGGGTATGGTGTGGGGGCCTGAATGTGCCTGTTGGTACATCTGATTGGCATCAGAGAGGGCAGTGGTGGTGGTGGGGCTTTCTGAGGTACATCACTCATTTGCAGGTGTGCCTCAATGCCTGCCTCTGGCCATAGATGAGTCTGTGAGACAAGGTGGTGGCTCTCCAGCTGTGCCCTGTGACCATGTGGGCTCAGAAGCTGGGCCTCCCACATCCTCCATGGCACCTGCCAGCTCCCAGGGCCTCTAGGAGCCGTTTCTGCTCACTCACAGTATGGAGCAGAAGCTGTGCTTATCCAGGAGGTTTGAGGTGATCAGAGGACTCCGCCTTCCAGCCTGTCATTTCTGCCTGGAGAGTGATTATTCCAGGCTAATGTGTAAATTGCAGTCTTTGCTGCCCAGCGCCCCAGAATGCTCATTATCAGATAGGCTGGCATGTCTGTGGCTGCTGTGAGTGACGGGCTACCTGCTAGGAGGATGAGGGTCTTTGTGGAAGGTCAGGGCCTCACAGGGCGGGCCACACCTCCTCTGCTTGCTGCTCTGTCCTCCCTCCACAAACTTGTCTGTATGGACTCAACAACATCTGTGGTGACAATTCTACCATCTTGGGTGGGGAGGTCCAGACCCACATATTGCTGGCCAGGGCTTGGCAGGGCTCTGGTATGTCCTTGGGCCTTAAGCTTTGTTGTAAAGCCTCAGCTTCAGCTGAGCACTGATAGTGGCTAACACCTGTAATCCTAAGTGTTCAGGAGAGATGGAGAATATAGGGATCATAGTTCAAAGCCATCCTAGGCAGAAAAATCTGTGAGACTCCAATTAACCAGCAAAAAGCCAGAAGTGGAGCTGTGGCTTAAGTGGTAGCATGTCAGCTTTGAGTAGAAAAAGCAAAGGGAGAGCACAAGGCCCTGAGTTCAAGTCCTAGTACTAACACACACGCACGCACGCACGCACGCTACCACCACCACTACCAACACAAAACAGAAACAAAGACAACAAAGCAAAACAAAACCCCAAAACCTCAAACAACCCTCAGCTTCAGGCAGAGTTGGCATCAGAGAAGAGGTGGGCTTTGCTCCTCCTGGAGGATCTTGGTCCTTTGGAAGGAGTGTGGTCTAGCTGGCTTTGTGGGTGGGGAAGGTCGAGATTCATTGAACCATGTTTCTTAGGTCTCAGCCTCCTGAATAACTGGGATTACAGGGTGTGAGCTACTGGTGGTCCAGCTTAGGCCCTACCTTTAGACTTTGCTACATTGGGGATCTAGCCTTCAATTCCTGACTCTGTGGGGGACACTCTGATACCTAGTAACCATAAAACCTTGGCAGCATCTAAGAGCTGGTCTTACAAGAAAAGTCTCCCAGAATTCTTTCTCCAAAGAGGAGTTTACAAGGGCAGAGTTATCAGTGGAATGTCTCTCGAGTGGTTGGGACCCCCATTCCAAGAGGCCCAAGGCTCTGAATGGTACCTGTGATTTTGACCTGGCTGCTGTTTCAGCCTCATGGCAGCCTTGCCTCTTGGCTTACCATGATGTTCCACTTCTCAGAAAGTCAGCTTAGCAGTCAGAGCACATACCTGTCCAGAGACAGACAGTGATGGTAGAATATGGCTTCAGGTCAAGTCTGATCAGGGCCCTAATTGTCTGGAAAGGTAGAGGGGCTCTGGGTATATCTCCTATCTGTCTGTCTACTTTTTCTTATGAATTCTTGGTGCAGGCAAGAAATGGGAGTACCTATCTGAGAGTTGAGGATGGATGTCAGCTGAGGCTTTGAGAGGAGGGTCCTGGCCCTGCCTTGGTGACTGTACCATTCCAGTGGCTAAGCTTGAGTGGATGTCACTCCTCACCCTCATCTAAGGAACCAAATGGCACTTGACTTGAGTGAGGGCTTAAAACCCAGGGCCTGATTGGTCAGAAAACAGCTGCTAGCAGTTGGTTTTCCTAGAGAGTACTCTTCAATAATACAGTAATAATATTCTGTACCTTGGACACAGCTGGGTTCCACAGAGGCCATTAAAGCACTCCTTTAGTCTGCCCCTGTTTTGCAGACTTGTGCAGACATACAGCCTGGGGTGACCTTGAGTCTTTGCCGAGTTGGTCTCCCTGGCGGGAAGGTTCCGTGTGCATACTGGCAGGCTTGACCAGACAGCCTTGGTCCCAAGGGGAATTCTGGCCCCACAGCCAGGATACATTGCAATCAGCAGGGTTTTTCCTTTCTGTGCTCTGGGGTGGCCCTCTCCTGAATCCCCCTGGTCCTGAATCTTTGGGAGAGAAGGCTTTACTGCAACAGGGTAGTGCCAGACAAAGGGGCTGGTTGTCTGGGCTGGAGTTTGGGGAGTGGCTAGATCTGATGTGCAAGCTGCTTCCAGACGGTGTCGTAATCAATAGGGCATCAGGAGAGAGGCTTCTGGGATTACCTGGCCTTTGCAATCAAAACCCACCAGACTGAGCATTTGACCTTCAGCTTCTCAGCTTCCTTCTGAGCTTCTATCTGATGGCTTTTGAAAATCCATCTGGCAGATACTACAATCCAGAGTCACCCGGGGAAACAACTCCCCCGCCTGTAGGATCTGCCGCCTCCTGCACGAACCGTCTGTGTTGCTGTTAGGGTTGCAGCCGCTGCTGGGAGGGGGCGGGGGGATGGGGGGGTGCGTGTTAGAGCAGGTGGATGGTAGCTTCCAATTCATTTTTGTTTGGAGTCTTTGCTCATAAAAGTGTGAAGGCTTTTTGACACGAGAGCGTTTCCCCGTCACGTTCGATCAGAATTGGGTTTAGCTGATGACAGCCTTGACTGTGAGATGTCTGGGGTCCTCAGAAGAGGCAGGAAATTGCCTCTGTGATTCAGAGCCCTGGACAGCTTTGAGCTGGGGATGGGGGCAGTGAGGGGGGGTGGGGTAGGGAGCAGCTTTGGACCAAGGCCTGAAGATCCTTTTAGAAGCTCTGCTCTAGTCCCTGGCCAAACAACCAGAGACAGTGAGCCTGGCCTAGGTTTATGGGGAGGCAGTGCTCAACGCCCGACACCCCCCTCCCCCACCCCCACGTCCCCCTCCAAATACTTGCCTGGTCCTTAGGCTGCACAGGAGAGATGGCCAAAGAGAGCGCCCCAGGGCTGGGGGCCCCAACCCTCTGCACTTGGCTCCTTTTAGTGTGTGTGGTGGACATGTATGGTGGGGTGTGTAGCTGTGGGCATATGGGATATGTGTGGCAGGTGTGTGATGTTATACGATGTGTATGTCTAGTTTTGCATGACATTTGCCTCAAGGAATACATCTTGGATCATGAGGAAGCCCAAGGCTTTCCCCCAGCCTCTTTTTGGCCTCAGCCTTGCCCCTTGTATTACCAGGGAGGGCACGGAGCCCACTTTGAGGGGTACAACCTTTCTTGAAAGAGGACTGCCAGGATTCTTTTGGTTCTTCCTGAGCAGCCTACCTCAGGGAGCTCCCGCCCTGCCATCCTAGAAATTGCCAGAGTCCCCAGCCAGGCCCTCCAGAGATAGCACTGATGTGGTCACACGCCAGGAGAGGTCTCCAGGATCGGGCAGGAGGCGCCCGCGCTGCACTGGAGAAGGCTGCTTCTCTCTCTGACAACCTAATGACATCTTGAAATGGTTACTGACTTCCACTCTGCCGCGAGGGCCTGCCACGTTCCGCTGCCCGCAAGCAGCATGAAAGGCAGCTGTGTTGTTGGGAGCTGAAGGCAGGCTCAGGCCGCTGGAAATTGATGGTGACTGGTGTAATTTGGCGTTATTACTTATTCATTAACCGTATGCAGGTGGTCAGCTGGTCGTCAAGCCTTGCTCTTTGAAATTTCATTTTCTTGAGGGCCCCATCCTGTCTGTAGCATAGGACATTAATTTAACGCCCCTTTCCCACCTGGGCCCGCCAGCAGGGTGTTGGCGCTCACTATACCAGAGCAGGCATCAGTCCTGCCTCCGGGTGCCTGGAACTCATCCTGCTGGCAGAGTGGGCTGCTTAGGTCCTGGGGATTGAGATCCTGTGAATTGAGGGGACTTCTGCCACAGTTGTCCCTTGCATTGAAAATGTGAAGGTGGGTAAGCTTCCTTCTTGACTCATCTCTCTTAGACTGTTTTTTTTTTTCTTTTTTGTCAGTCATAGGAATTGAACTCACTGTCCCTGAGGTCATTTGTTCAAGGCTAGTGCTCAAGGCTAGAGCCACAGTTCTACTTCTAGTTTTCTGGTGGTTCATTGGAGATAAGAGTCTCATGGAGTTTCCTGCCTGGGCTGGCTTTGAACTGTGATCCCCAGATCTCAGCTTCCTGAGATTATAGCTGTGGGCCACCAGCGCCTGGTTTAGCTTTTTATGTGCAAGGCTGAAGCTCTAGAACTTGAATCATAGCTCCACTTCCAACTTTTTTACTGGTTCATTGTAGATAAGAGTCTCACAGACTTCCTGCCCAGGCTGGCTTCAAACTTGTATCCTCAGATCTCAGCCTCCTGAGTAGCTAAGATTACAAGCATGAGCCAGTGGCACCTCTTGCTTTTCTGGATCATGCTTTTATGCAATCTGCAGTATCTACTCAGTACTGGATAGTACTGCTCAGGAGTAAAGGGTCTTTGAGCTCCCTGTAAGCCAGCCCTGCAGCAGAGCCTTGGGAGTCCTGGCATGTGGCAGTTTCTATCCAAGCTGCTCCTGACTAGTTACTAGAGGCTGTGCTAATGGAGGTGTCAGACATTGGCCATTTAACTTTTGAGTTCTGTCTCAAATGCAGAAGCTGAAGTGACTGAATTGTGCAAATTTAATTAGTGATGGGAGTTTGATGGTCAGTGACCACTTAGCAAGACCAAGAGGGAAAAGAAAAGAGAGGTGGTTGGGCACTGTTGGCTCACGGCTGTAATTCTCACTACTCAGGATATGCTGATATCTGAGGAATATGGTTTGAAGCCAGCCTAGGCAGGAAAGCCTGTGAGTAAAAACACACATACACACACACCCAGGACTGCCACACACACACACACACACACACACACCCAGGACTGCCACACACACACACAGACACACACACACACACACACACACACACACACACACACCCAGGACTGCCACACACACACACAGACACACACACACACACACACACACCCAGGACTGCCACACAAAAAACTCAAAGAAGCAAAAAATGCTCTGGGTAGTAGTGAGATGAGTTCCTTGGCCCTAGTGGGTTTCTTCCCTGGCCTTGATGGCTCTGGGCAGCTCTGAGCTCTGTTACTGGCCCAGAGCCCTGTGGTCTGTACATCTGGAGTCAAGTGTGGAACATTTGGGTGGAGACCAGAGAGAGCTGGAGGACTCCAGTTCTCAGACTGTCACAAAGAGGGCGGTGTAGGTCACAGAACCCTGTAATTCTCTCTCCCTCTCATTTGATCTGGGGCTCCCCAGTGCTTCCTCATCTAAATGCCTGAGGGCTCAGGAAGGGGAACCTGGAAACTGTCTTCTGTATGTTGCCTGAAGACCTCTGTTAGATGTCACACCTGCTAGTGGCAAGAGGCTACCACAGTCTGGGGCGGGGGGGAGGGAGGCGGTGGTAGGAAAAGGATGGGGGTAACTCCCCTGGTGATCTTGGCTGGTGATGGCCTCCCCTGGTATGGTTACTGCCCTTCCCTCTGACTCAGCTACCCACCTGGGGTAGGGGGTGGAGGCCTGTTGCCCCTGGGAGGGGGCAGGGCATTGAAAGGTGGGTCTAGGCCTCTACCTCCACTCTACTGTATCTTCTCCCTGGCTGATTTTCCAAATTGGATGGAATAAGCTTGAATTGTTTTTCTTACCTTATTGAGTTATATTGCAATCGACAACTTGAACATGTCAATTTGCTAGGTTTCTTTGAAAGGGACTCCCTGGCAGGTTGGGAGGGGGGAGTGGAGCTTGTGCCTGAATGTAGGGGGCACACTGACTGACAGCCCATGGGATCTCAGTGTTTGTAGATGGAGGGACACTGAATGATGGGGTTGGCCGGGCTCGGTGGGGAATGGAGGAAGGAGGAGGCAGGAGCAGTTCCAGTGATCATCTTGTTACTGGGTGCCTTGTCTTCTGTGCTGAGGCAGACCTGCTTAGTGCTATGCCAGTCTGACATGTGGGCCTGGGGTTTTGTGGCCTGGGTCCAGGGGGCAGGAAGGGGGTTGTACTGAGTCATTGCCATGCCCTGATCCTGGGTTCCTTATGCTTTCCTTTGAGGATCCATTCTAAGGAATACTTCAAGGAGAAATACGCCGTGGATGACATCCAGTACGTGGATGAGGTAAGTAGCTGGGGATCTTCATTCCTCCTACAGCCAACCACCAGCCCCCCAGCAGCACACCTGACTATCCTAATCAGGGGGAGGCAGGAAGCCTATCTCAGACCTCCCATCTGAGCAAGCCATTCCTGGGCTAGGCAGCACCTCTAGTGCCATGGATTGCAGCCACTGAGGTATAACAAGGGATGTGGCTTACACACAGATGGACACAGATCTGTCAGTCACTGTGGGTTTAGACTTGGCCTTCATTGTTGGGAGGCCTCTCAGAGGTCCTAGTCAGTTACAGGTTCACCGTCAAATTTGTCTGAGGCAGGCGTCTCTGGGTATCTTCCACTTGTGCCCACACTGCTCCATCTTGACTGCCAGAGAGACTGGACTGCCTGGGAGATCGATGCTCACCACGGCCTACCACAAGACAGAGGCACTGGTTTGTCAGAACTGTACTGTAGTCGTGTGTGCCAGGCTGCATTTCGAGCTTATGACTCAGATTTTTTTAGGGTGTATTAATGGGTCTCTGTGGAGAAGGAAGATTGGGGGCTGCCAGGCCAGGAAATGTTTTGCAGTTGTGTTGGTAGCCAGGGTCCACTCAAACCAATGGGATCAATAAAAGACGTCCTGCCAGGCGGGCAGACATGTAGCGGGCCTGCTGTGTTGGGCCTTGATCTGCCTGCACACCAGGCAGCATGGCAAGGGTGGCTTTCTCCTCTGTTGTTCCTAACCAGCACGTCCGGAGAGTCATTGTGGAGAGAAAAAGCATCAGCCCACACATTTGTTATCCAGTTCCCTCTCCCAAGGACAATAGCAGATACAATCCCCAAGTGCCTGCTCGAGCCGCTTCTGCTGCCGTAATTGACGGGATCGTTGTGCATTGATGAATGCAGACCCTTCACATCAGTGAAACAACACACTCAGGGCCTGACACTCACAGCTCTGTTCGTTTTCCTAAGCCCTCCCCACTTCTCCAGGAGGAGCTGGGAGGGGGAGGAAGGGCCTTAGCCAGGCTGTTCACAGGCTCAGGGGCTCAGCCATTCTCCAAGCACCAACTGAGTAAATGCTTTTTTTTTTTTTTGGTCAGAGTCCCATGGACTCTTTGCACAGTCTGGCTTTGAACCACAATCCTCTGATCTCAGCCTCTTGAGTAGCTAGGATTACAGGTGTGAGCCACCACTGTGTGTGTGTGTGTGTGTGTGTGTGTGGTGTGTGTGTGTGTGTGTGGTGTGTGTGTGTGTGTGTATATACTGGGGCTTGAACTCGGGACCTGGGGACTATCCCTGAGCTTTTTTGCTCAAGGCCAGCTTTGAACCACAATCCTCTGATCTCAGCCTCTTGAGTAGCTAGGATTACAGGTGTGAGCCACCACTGTGTATGTGTGTGTGGTGTGTGTGTGTGTGTGTGTGTGTGTGTGTGTATATACTGGGGCTTGAATTCGGGACCTGGGGACTATCCCTGAGCTTTTTTGCTCAAGGCCAGCACTCTAATGTATGAGCCATAGCTCCACTTCCATCTTTTTGGTGGTTCATTGGAGATAAGATTCTCATGGGCTTTCTTGCTTGACCTGGCTTCAAACCTTAATCCTCAGATTTCAGCCTCCTGAGAGGCTAGGATTATAGGCATGAGCCACTGGCATCCAGCTTGTGTGCTCATTATTAAGTAATGGTGGCTTATCAACTTAGTTATACTTTGTGGCTGTTCTAAAGTGCATTTTGTTTTCTGCCTTTTCAGATTGCCAGTGTCCTGACATCACAGAACCCCTCTGTCCTCCTCACCTTGGTAAGTGGCTGGTGTTCAAGAACCAAGAGTGCTTAGTCCTGGGGAGGAATTTCCGAGGGTCATGGGGGAGGAGCAAGACATGAGAGGAATCATCACCACCACTGTGCTAAGTACAGAGACTCAGTCCAAATGACTGACCCTGTTGGAGACAGGAAGTGCTGTGTCCTTTCTATAGGCCACAGTGGGCACTTCTGGCTTTTTGCTAGTTAATTGGAGATAAGAGTCTCACAGACATTGCTGACCAGACTGGTTTGAACTGTGATCCTCAAATCTCAGACTCCTGAGTAGCTAGCTGGCTATTCCATTGTTTTAAGAAAGGTTTTGGTGGCTGCGGAGGGGGCGTTCTGCTTGTTGATTGTGGTCAGAGGTGGCCCAGTGTGTTTTATTAGGGTATATGTTTGGCTGGGACTTCTTTGTCAGGCAAGGCAGGAGAGCAAGGGTTGGCTAGTTGGAGTGGGGCTTCTCGTTCTTACTGTCCTGAGCCTGGCTGGATAAGACAGGCCCTCCAGGACAGGCACTGGGGACCCTGTATCTGTTCTCACATACCCCTCCCCCCCTCCAGCGTGGTGTCAACACAGACAGCGGCAGTGTCTGCCGAGAGGCATCCTTTGAGGGCATCAGCAGGTGAGTCCAGGGGCCCACGGCCATCTCTCCATCCTGATCTTTACGCCAGTCTGCACAAGTGTGTCATGTATAGGAGATTTCTAAAGATTGCCTTGATTGGGTGTTGTTTTGTTTTCCTTTGGGGATTGAACTCAGGGCTTTTTGCTTATGAGACAAGTACTCTACTACCTGAGCCACGCCTCCCATTCCTTTTTACATTGGTTATTTTCAAACTAGGGTCTGGCTTTCTATTGGGTTAACCTGGGCTGCCAACTTCCTACCCTGGGGGTGACAGGCATGTGCACTGTGCCCAGCCATTGTGCTTCCCCATAGCTTGGATTATACAGGTGCTCAACACTATGCCTAGCCATTGATTGAGATGAGGTCCCTTGAACTTTGATACCTAGACTATCCTTGAGCCGTGATCCCATGATCCCATGATTTCTGCCTCCCAAGTAGCTAGGATTATGCACCCACCAAGACTGAATGTTTTGAGGAAATGTTGAGAAAACTACTTTGCCTGAATTTACCCATCAATACTTTCAGGAGCAGTGCCCCTAGCACTGTGTTCCTTGCTCCCTGCACTATACAGACCTGCCCCTTAATCCTACTCACCTGCCCTGGCCAGCTCTCATCAGCAGCTCCCTGTGTGCCCTGCAAGCGGCAGCTCTCACTCTTCTTGTCAGCCCTCACCCCCATGACCCTCAGAGAGCACTGTCTGCTGGTTATGTGTGTGCTCTTCCCTTCCCAAGGCTGGCCGGTGGCCGGTTCTGGGGGCAGTGGTGTGTCTATGGGCCTTCCTGGCAGGGCTGTTCCTGCTGTAGATGAGGCCTCATGAGGAGACCCCTGCTCTGTGAGGCTGCCAAGGGTAGATGTGGCCACCCCCAGCCCTGGTCCTCAGTCTGAACCCCTGTACGCTCCCCTACCACACATCCTCCTAGCCGCTGTGTCCTCTGTTGTCCTTTGGTGGACTGAGGCAGTGGTAGAAGATGCTCCTTATAATTATGTATGAGCTGGCGCGTGCTGTGGGACCGTGCATGTGTGCGGTGGAGGGGTGATTAGGAAGGATTATGAGCTCATGAATATGTATCAATCTCCCCCCACCCCCATGATAACAGCTATGGGGGTAGAGGAGCAGGATCGGGTTTGCTGCTTTGTATCATCCAAATCTCTGCATCCTCTCCAGAGATTTCCCAGAGCAGCCTAGTGGTGATATGCTCACCACTAAGGAGCTGTGTCTCTCCTCAGCCTCAGGTGCCCACATTCAGGAACCCTGCTTACCTATCTCATCCAGCACCACGGATGTCTCCACCAGAACTCTGAGGCTGGGTCTGCCTCTTGGGAAGGGTCCTGAACTGGGAGGGGGTGCCCTAGTGATCACCACACTGGCTCTGTGACCTTGAACCCCATGCGTAGTCATGCTGCTGGCCTGGTGGACTCCAGCATGGCTGACTTCCTGGATGAATACCCCATGAGGTGTCATGGAGATGCAGGCAGAGCCCCAAACTGCCCCAGAGCCATAATCACTGCCAGTGGGGAAAAGAAGTGGAGGCTATGTTCCCCGCTCCCCATGGGGTAGATTTTCCTGCTATGAACTCTGGCTTTCCTTTCCAATAGACAGACCCCTCAGCCTCTGTCCCCTGTGGGTCCTAAGACCCCTCCCCCCCCACAGACCTTATCTGAGCCCTGAATGAGCCTATGCCTTGCAAATGTCAACCCTGTCCAGTCAGCATTCAGATACTGCAGAATGCCAGGGACTGCCTGAATGCCACACCATCCCTCCCAGCTCCTGGCTGCACCATCTGGTCCAGCCCAGGCAGAGGCTGGTTTCAGAGTGCCACAGGCTACAAATTTATTGGGCTTGGCTGAGCTGGGAGATGCCCTCTGTGCCCAGTGCTGGGTGGACACATCACCACACCTAGATGATGGACAGGAGCTCAGGTCTGCCCAAAGGAGAACCCTCACACTGGTCTCTCTGATCTGGGGTCTCCTGGTTGCTTATGGTACTGTCCCTGCTCTTGGCTCCCTGGCAAGCTTGTTCCAAATTTCATATCTCATTGTGTAAACTCACAGGGCTGGTCTTCTGGGACAGGAATCTTCAACCAGTGTTCCCTACTTTGCAGGCCATGGGTGCTGACTTGGAGGTTCGGCAGGTGCCCCTCTCCCACCTCCTTCTTGCACATCTGGATTGCTGGCCTCTGTGTCCAGCTTGACACCCCCCCCCCTTCCTGGATTCCCACTCACCCAGATGTCCAGCACCCAATTCTGTCTTCCTTCCAGCCTCTGAGCCAGGCTGGGAGTAACCTTGACCTTGAGGGCCCCTGCGGCTCACAGCCACATTCACCTGTCTGCCCTGCGCTTCTCCAGCCATTTGCTGGGGATAATAATAGCCTATTTCCCAAGCCACATGCGTCTCGCCGTCACTCTGCTTTCTAGTCCTCCACCACTCTGTCTGCAGTCACCTCCTGCTGCCCCTTGAAGCTCCTTATCCTGGAGGTTTTTCTTTAGCTTCTCTGAGTTGCCTCCACCTCCACAAACCACAGTTGATCTTTCCAGTGTAATAGAAGTTCAAGCTTAACCTCTTACCTTGTCCTGATGGACCCTTCCAGTCCACCTTTCTCCACTGGCCTGCAAGGAGGAAGGGACAACAGCAGACTCACCCACGTCCAGCTTGTATCCAGACTTCTGGGTGAGGTTATAGAGGCCGAGGACTGCTTAGTTCCTTTGTTTGAGGGAGGGACAGGGACCATATTTTCTGTCCAGTAGTTATTCATTACAAGCCTGTTTTTTTACCTTCAGTATTCAATGAAACTGCTTTGCATATTTGAAGACAATTGGTTACAAATTAATTCCATTTAACTAGGCAGTTAAATATGAAATGCTGAATTTGTTATAGCAGGAATATTAATATCAGAAGATGTGAATTTTAAAACCCAGGAAGTAGAGGGACATTATTAAAATGATGATATATGACAAAATGCCAATTGGTTGTTTGGGGACTTTCTGGCTTTCTGGCTACTATTGGCTTGCCTATCAAGTTAGTAGTTAATTCAATTGGTTATAGATTGGGTCTGTGGAAATCTTCACGAGGGGAGGCCCTGTCCCAGTCCGGGAGTAGGGGATCAGATGGGGAGATGCCTGCATGTTCTCCCTCCTCCTCCCCCCCTTTCTTCATGCCAGTATTAAAGCTTGACTTAGAGCCTAGGTGCTGTCACTTAGCTTTTTTTAGTTTTTGCTAAAGGCTAGCACTCTCCCACTTGAGCTACTTCTGTCTTTTTTTGGTGGTTAATTGGAAATCAGAGGCTCACAGACTTTCTTTCCTGGGCTGACTTTGAACCTTGATCCTCAGCTCTCTGTCTACCGAATAGCCAAGATGACAGGCATGTACTAACTACCATACTATGTACATACTACCATATACTAGTTTGAGTTAATTTTTGCATGTGGTGGTAGGTGGGGTTCCAACTTCATCTTTTTTTCATATGGCTGACCAATTGTTTCTGCACTGTTTGTTGAAACAACTGTGCTTCAACACCCTTGTCAAAAGTGAATTTTTACAAACGTCATGTAAATCTACTTATACAAAGTACCTAAAATAGATTCATAAAGACATAAAACAAAGCAGTGGTTACCAACAGATGGGGAGGAGGAATGGGGAGTTCCTTTTTAATGGATCCAGGGTTCCGCCGTGGGGTAGGAAAAGCCCTGGCAGGAACTAGTAAGGATGATTGTGCAGCAGTCTGCCTAATGTCACTAAAGAAGTGTACACTAAAAAATGGTTAAAAAGACAATTTTATGTTCTGTGTACATTATACCACAATTAAAAAGATCTGCTGGAAATGTGGCTTAGTGGTAGAGTGCTTATCTAGCACGCATGAAGTCCTGGGTTTGATTCCTCAATACCACATAAACCGAAAAAGCTTGACGTGGCACTGTGGCTGAAGTGGTAGAGTGCTAGCCTTGAGCAAATGAAACTCAGGGTCTGTGCCCAGGCCCTGAGTTCAAGCCCCAGGGCTGCCAAAAAAAAAAAAAAAAAGACAGAATAAAAGATCAAGCTAGGCACCAAAGGCACCAGTGGCGCATGCCTGTCATCCTAGCTACTCAGGAGACTGAGATTTGAGGGTCATGGTTCAAAGCCAGCCCAGGTAAGAAAAACTCTGAGACTTTTTTTTGTTGTTGTTGTGTTGGTCATGGGTCTTGAACTCTGGGCCTGGGCGCTGTCCCTCAGCTCTTCAGCTCAAGGCTAGTGCTCTACCACTTGAGCCACAGCGCCACTTCTGTCTTTTCTGTTTATGTAGTGCTGAGGAATTGAACCCAGGGCCTCATGCATGCAATGCAAGCACTCTACCACTGAGTCACCTTCCCGGCCCACCCCGAGACTCTTATCTCCAATTAACTACCAGAAAATGGGAAGTGATGCTGTGGCTCAAAGTGAGAGAACACTAACCTTGAGCAAAAAAGCTCAGGAACAACACCCAGGTCCTGAGTTCAAGCCCCAATATAAAAAAAAAAAAAAAGATAAATTGTTCATAAATGTATGGACATATTTTTGGATTTTTTGGTGTTTTTTTAAAATAGTAATACTAACAATATGTTATCAGTATTATTGTTTTGTCAGTCCTGAGGCTTGAACTCAGAACCTGGGCACTGTCCCTGAGCTTTTTTGTTCTAGGCTAGTGCTCTACCACTTTGAGCCACGGCTCCACTTCCAGATTTCTGATAATTGGACATAAGAGTCTCAAAGACTTTCCTGTCCAGGGTGGCTTTGAACCACAATCCTCAGATCTCAGCTTCCTGAGTAGCTAGGATGATAGGCGTTAAGCCACCAGCGCCTAGCTGTTTTATTATTTTATTTGCTTTAGTTTTACTTTTTTATTTTTTGGTCTGAGACTCAAACTTGGTACCTTGATGCTTTTGCTCGTTGGCTGGTGCTCTACCAACTAAACCAAGCCTCTAGCCCCTATTTTACTTTTTCTTAATTTCAAAAGGTTGTATAATATGTCACAGATTAATGTGTCCTTCCAAGTATCCAGTGCTTCTTAATTAGAGTCTGTTCCCTCCCCACATGGTTTTATTTTTGGATGCACAATTTATTACATTAATAAGTATGTCTGTCCTTATGCTAATACCACACACTATCTTTTTTTTTTTTGTCAGTTGTGGGGCTTGAACTCTGGGCCTGGGTGCTGTCCCTCAGCTCTTCAGCTCAATGCTAGTGCTTTACCACTTGAGCCATAGCACCACATCCAGTTTTCTAGTGATTTATTGGATATAAGAGTCTCACAGCCTTTCCTGCCTGGGCTGGCTTTAAACTGTGATCCTCAGATCTCCGCCTCCTGAGTAGCTAGGATTACAGGCATGAGCCACCAGCTTGAACTCAGGACCTGGGACTGTTCCTAAGCTCTTTTGCTCAAGGCTAGCACTCTACCCCTTGAGGTATACCTCTACTTCTGGCTTTTGAGTGGTTAATATGGGCTTTCCTACCAGAGCCAGCTTCAAACTGTGATCCTCACATTTCAGCCTCTTGAGCAGTTAGGATTTACAGGTGGGAGCCGCCAGCTCCTAGCTAAAATCACGTTTTATAGTTTTTAGTGTGTGTCTTGTACTTCTTTTGTTAAAATAGTTCCTCAGTGTTTTATTTGTTTTGATGCTGTTGTAGATGGAATTGTCTTAGTTTCATTTCAGGTTATTTTGCTAAAGTATATAAATACAACTGATTTGTGAATATGGATTCCTATGTTGTCTTTTGGCAGTCCTGAGTTTGATGTATGATCTTCTGTATATATCTCTTAAGATTTTACTACTTGGAGTTCATAGAGCTTTATGGGATCACATAGATGGATTTTTTTCTCCCAAGTCTTCAGCCATTGTCTGCTTTTTTTTTTAGTTTGCATTTTTAAAAATTGTTATTATAAAGATAATGTACAGAGGGGTTACAGTTATATAAGTCAGGTAAAGAGTATATTTCTTTTTCTTTTTTTTTTTTTGTCATGGGGCTTGAACTCTGGGCTTGGGCGCTGTCCTTGTGCTCTTCAGCTCAAGGCGAGCGTTCTACCACTTGAGCCACAGCACCATTTCCGGTTTTCTAGCAGTTTATTGGAGATAAGAGTCTCACGAACTTTCCTGCCCGGGCTGGCTTTGAACCGTGGTCCTCAGATCTCAGCCTTCTGAGTAGCTACGATTACAGGCGTGAGCCATTGGCGCCCGGCTTAGAGTATATTTCTTTTAGGATAGTGTTAATCCTTCTCACTCTCTCCCACTTTTCCCCTCCCATTCCCACCTATAAGTTACATAGTTCATTCTCAACAAGCCACTGCCTGCGTGCCTTCTGCCTTCCTCCCTCCCTCCCTCCCTCCTTCCTTCTTTCCTTCCTTTTTTTCTTTTGTCTATCAAAAAGGAAATAAGGCACTGTCCCTGAGCTCTTTTGCTCAAAGCTAGCAATCTACCACTTTGAGTCACAGCTCCATTTCTGTTTTTTGAGTGGTTCGTTGGAGATTAGAGTCTTACAGGGACTTTGCTGGCTTTGAACCATGATCCTCAGATCTCAGCCTCCTGGGTAGTTAAAATTACAGGTGTGAGTCACCAGCCCCCATTGTTTTTCTAAATATCATTTCCGTTCCTTCCTCTTCCTCCCTCCTTGCTGGTATGTCCATATGTATATGTTGGTATGCTTGACAGAAGAGGTTGTCTGTCTGCCTGGTGGGGATGCAGGCTGGTATTTTGTATACACAAAGCTTGCTCTGCCCCTGACAGTATTTGGAGGAGGCAGCAGGTGGCCAGGTGTGCAGAAAATGTGCAGCATGCAAGGGGGTACCAGGAGGTTATGGTCATAGTGTGTTTATTTGGCTGGCACAGTATAGACCATTGAACTAATGCCCTTGGTTTTTTCCTCTCTGTAGGTTCAATGTCAACAACACCATTCTTCACCCAGAGATTGTTGAGTGGTGAGTATTGGTCTGTAGCTACCTGGGCTGTTTGTCCTGCTCAGCTACAGAGATGGGGGGACTTCGCTGTTCCTGCCTACACTACTCAAAGGGCCACTCAGAAAACCAGAAATCCATATCTACAACTTCCTCTCTCAGTCTTAGCCTTTTCTGCTTGATTTTTTTAAAAATCTCTTTTGTTTTTGTTTGTGGTTGTTGATTGTTTTATTCCCCTCCCCCCATCATTTCCTTTCTTCTTCTTTTTTGTCTTGTTTTTAATATAATTTTATTGTTATTAAGAAGTGCTGTATAGAAGGGTTACCATTTCATTTGCATCCAAGGCCTCAGGCTTCCTAGGCAGGCACTCTACCACTTGAGACGTGCCCCCAGCCCCTCCTTTATTTCCAGTCTTTCCAAACTCCTACCATAGGACAAGGCAGACACTGCTCAGATAGCAGGTAAAAAAGTCCAGAAGGAAACATCACATAATCTGGTTGCTGGAATGTAGTCACACAGCTTTTTCCTGTTGTGCAAATGTCTTGACAGGTGTGGAACCTGTATGCATGTACTTTTGGTGCCTTCCTTCTTCCCTAGGGTCTGGCACCTACAGTGCAGCTAGATCGGGTAAGGTTCTGTAAGGCCTGCCTACTCAGGTTAGGTGTGGCCTCTGTGGGCTCCTGAAGTGAGCCACCAAGTTGCTTTTTCTTCTTCTTCTTGTTCTTATTCCTCTTGTTCTTGTTCTTCTTCATTGGCGGCTTCTTCTTCTTCTTCTCCTTCTCCTTCTTCTTCCTCTACCTCCTCCTTTTCCTTCTTCTTCTCCTTCTCCTTCTTCTTCTCCTCCTCCTTCTTCTTCTTCTCCTTCTTCTTTTTCTTCCTCTTTTGTACTGATACTGGGACTTGAACTCAGGACCTAGGCACTTTCTCTGAGGTTTTCCCCTTAAGACTGCTGCTCCTTTACTTAGGCCACAGCTCCACTTCTGGATTTTTTTTCCTGGTTAATAGAATTAAGAGTATCACAGACCACAGACTTTCCTGCTGGGGCTGGCTTCAAACCATGATCTTCAGATCTCAGCCTCCTGGGATTACAGGTGTGAGCCACCAACACCCTTGGGGCTTAGTGTCCATTTTGACTTTGTCTTGAGAACTGTGGGAATCATGGGAAATCCTGGAAGAGCTGAAAAGAAATTACATTTCCAAGTAATTCTGATCTCTGACTGGAGACTCAGCAGACACACACACACACACACACACACACACACACACACCATGCATACACACGCACGCACGCATGCGCGCATGCGCACACACACATGCAGGGGGAGGGGGTGGTGGGGGAAAGATTTGACAGGATCAGTAAATAACAGTACCAGGCAAAATTCCCAACTGTGGTAGAGTGAAGGCAACTGTGGGGTTTTGTCCTCTGCAGCTGGATGGAGCAGTCTTGAGATTGTGACTGGTGTGGGGGGGGCGGGGCAGGAGGTAACCATAGGTGCTTGGTAGTTCTGGGATTTGTTTGGGGGCAGTATGGGGAAAGATGATTGAGTGAAGGTGGAGATCTGAGAACTGTCCACAGGCTTTGGTATTGATCTGAGACACAGAGTGGGGAGGGAAGGAAGGAGGGAGGGGGAGAGAGAGAGAGAGTGCTCCTTTCTCTGTCTACAACCTAGGCTTGTCACAGCCACACACTCTGTAAGGATGAGGCCATGTCTTTCAAGTTGATGGCATCAGGTAGTATGGTACAGGCAGAACAAGTCCTTGGTCTGCAGCCTGCGCCTGGTCCCTTGTGCCACCTCATTACTTTCCCTGCAGATCGAATCAGTGAGGCACGTTCTACAGACCTCAGCTGGGTCACAAGCTCTTCCCTCATCTCCCAAGGATGAGCCATTAGTTTGTCACTTTGGAGCAAACCAATGCTTTTAATTCCCGTGACATTTCCAAGGCTCTGAAGTGGAGCCCACGTTTAATAACAATACCTCTTAACTTTTATTAAAAAAAAAAAAGAGCAGCAGGAAGGACTTATTTGGCATTTGATGGCCATGGAAGGATTTCAGAAATGTCACATTGTCCTTACTGCCTCCGGGCTTCCTGTCTCTGCAGTGATCTCGTCACTCTTGGTGGATCCATCATAGCCACAGTTATTGCCCTGCCCTGTGACTGAAGGGAAGGTTCTGGGTGAATAGTGGGCAGGCCTGTCACTTCCCAGACATGGCAGGGAATGCTCTGTGATACTAAATTGCAACTCGATGTTGTATCTTTGCTCCCCTGTCATCCGATATTGGATGCCCTCACTGCTCAATCTCTCTGGGGGCAGGGGCACATTCTAAGTTCTAACCTGTCCCCTTGGGATGTCACTACATTTTTTTTTCTGAGCCTCTGCTGCTTTGCCTATAATACTAGCTTCTCAAGAGGCTGAGATTTGAGGATTGAAGTCAAAGCCAATTTAGGCAGGATAGTCCATGAGACTTTTTTGCATAAGGCCTGCATTCTACCACTTTGAGCCACAGCTCCACTTCTGGTTTTCTGGTGGTTAATTGGAGATAAGAATCTCACAGACTTTCCTGCCTGCACTGGATTTGAACCTTGATCATCACATCTCAGCTTCCTAAGTAGTTAGGATTATAGGTATGAGCCACCAGCACCTGGCCCACTTTCTTTCTTTTTTTGTGTATGCCAATACTGGGGCTTGAACTCAGATTCTGGGACTGTCTCTTACCTTTTTTTTTTGTCAGTCGTGGGGCTTGAACTCTGGGCTTGGACTCTGTCCCAGCGCTCTTCTCAAGAGGCTGAGATTTCCTGCTCAGGCTGGTTTTGAACCGTGATCCTCAGATCGCAAGCCCCCTGAGTAGTTAGGATTACAGGTGTGAGCCACCGGCGCCCGGCCTCTTACCTTTTTTCATTCGTTTCATTCTACCATTTGAGTCACACCTCCATCTCCACCATTTTGCTACTTAATTGGAATAAGAGTCTCACAGACTTTCCTGCCTATGCTGGTTTTGAACCTTGATTCTCAGCTCACAGACTGTTGAGTAGCTAGGATGACAGGTGTGAGCACTGGCATCTGGCATGAAATTTTTTTTTTAATTTAACTGGATATTCTTTGTTGTTCTCCGTGTCACAGAGGGAGATACTGAGGCATAGCACAGGTCATGACTTAGCCAAGGAAAAGACAGTCAAACCCAACCTGTTGGTCCTAGAATCTTATAGCCCCACTTTAAAGCTCCAAATACATCCTGGAGGGTGGATCCCCTTATTGTGGATCTTGGGCCAATGCCATGATATAGGAAGGCCTGGAGAGCAGAGGCAATGTGTAGCTAAGCTTCCTTGGTACCCCCACATACACCTAGCCCCCACCTAGCAGCTTGGCTGGGGCTGCAGGCATTCCTCCCAGAGCTGGTTGCACAGAAAGCAACAGCAGCCTCCTCTCCAGGCCCAGGAAAGCTGATGTGTTCTCAGTTTTGTTTGGGTGTCATTCATTTTCTTCATATGACTGTTTTATTGTTTTCTATTCTCTCAAGCAGAGCCTTTTTGATTTCCTGTAAATTCCTCTGTAATCGTGCTCTTCCCTACAAACATGAGATCATAACGGATCATTTCTTCCCTCGTGCTAGGTATTGCAGTTGGAATTGCGCAGGTCAAAAGTTGAAATTTAATAAGAGCCGGCATCTCGCTTCCATAATTTAGGCTGTGGTTCTACTTTGCTGCTTTGCAGATGACAGCATTGATCTGAGGGGAGAGTAGGAGATGATGGGGGATGCTTTCATACCGTCTAATGGCTCGATGCCTTGGCTTCTGGCTAAGAGCCTCTGAAAGCATTGCAGGAGAGCCGAGTGTATCAGCCATCCTTGTGTGCCTCCTTGGGCTTTAAGGGAGACAGTGTTCAACTGAGTCATGCGCTGTTTTTAGAGCTGTTAATTACTCAGGAGTGAAAGTGCCCTGCATGCGTGAAGCAGGCGATGGGAAACAGATTTATTTCTGCTCCCCTGCCTTCTGTGTGCAGGGAGGAAGTGTCCCAGGACCCTGGATCCTGGGTAACACGTCTCAAATTAGAAGATGTACTAGATGAAGCAGTACAGAGATTGTGCCCTAGATTCCTGAGTGTATGTGTGTGTGCGCGTGTGTGCGTGCGTGCGTGCGTGTGTGCGCGTGTGCAAGTGTGCACCGATCCTAGGGCTTGAACTCAGGGCCTAGGTGTTGTCCCTAAGCTTTTGCTCCAGGCTGGCACTTTTACCACTTGAGCCATTGCTCCACTTCTGGCATTCTTTGAGTAGTTTATTGGATATGAGTGTCTCATGGACCTTCTTGCTCAGGCTGACTTTGAACTGCGACCCTCAGATTTCAGCCTTCTGAGTAGCTGGGATTTCAGGCATGAGCCACTGATGCCTGATATTGCACTAGATTCATTTTTTAAAAAATATTGGTTGTGAGACTTGAAGTCAGGACTTGGGTGTTGTTCCTGAGCTTTTGTGCTTAAGGTGAGCACTCTGTCAACTTTGAACTACAGCTTCACTTCCAATTTTCTGTTGATTCATTGAAGATAAGTATCTCATGGACTTTCCTGTCCAGGGTGGCATTGAACTATGATCCTCAGATCTCAGCCTCCTCAATAGTGACGATTACAGGCATGAGCCACCAGCCCCAGGCCTGCCCCTAGATCCTTGATGTATATGTGAAAAGATTTTGCCAAGGGTGACTCATTCTGCTTCCCTAATGAAGAGACATTTAGCCTTCCATCTAGTGACAGAAATGGATGAAAAGTGGGATTCTTAGGAGAGCGAGAGAACATGAGTTTTCATGCCTGTAGGGGCCTCAGTGTAACCCCAGTCCTAGGCCAGTGGGCTGACTCTGGGGTGTCACAGATTAGGTCTGGCAATTCACCATAGCAATGAAATGGAAAAATAGAAGAGGGAAGCAGAGGAGGAATTTAATCAGTTCACCTATATTGAGAAGACTCTCAATATATGGCTTTTTTGCTCAAGGCTGATGCTGTACCACTTGAGCAACACCTCCACTTTTGGCTTTTTGCTGGTTCCTTGGAGATAAGAATATCACTGATTTGTTTGCTTGGGCTGCCTTTGAACCACCATTCTCAGATCTCAGCCTCCTGAGTAGCTGGAATTACAGGCATGAGCCACTGGGGCCCAGCAGAGGGGGTGATTTCAATGTGGGATGATGCGTCTGTAAGATAGGCTTTCTTAGAATCCAAGGTGATTGCAAGTTTAGGACAGTAAGAGACTGTGAGATACCTTGCTCCTGTATGTAAGAGAATGATGTTGTAAAAGCTAACAATAAAATAACTTAGTTACTTTTGTTTTGCTTTTGAGACATTGTCTCATTGTGTAACTCAGGCTGGCCTCAAACTCTCCATCCTCTGACCTCAGCCTCTCTAGTTGGGAGGATTATCGGTATGCCATCACTATGTCTAGCTATGTGCCTCAATTACTCTTGGTGTCTTCAGCCTGAAGGGGAATGAGTTAGATGAGGTATCATCAGTTTGCTTTTTTAGGCAGAATCCTTAAATGCTTAGCATGCCTGTCTGCAGAGCTGATTAGGAATCTAACCCACAGTAAAGGAGACAGAGATGCCAGTCTTCATCCAGCTTTTAGTTATCCATGGGGTATCATTTTAACAAACACTGTTTCTGAGTACCCCCTACAGCAGATGTGGGGCAGCACAGCCAGACCCTGGTCAACACATGGGTCCTGTCCACATCTGCCTGTCCCTGACATAGGACTTAACTGATTGAGTTTCTTGAGGTATGTGATTCCAACCAGGCTTTGTCTCTGCTGTCTCTCCAGTTATTTATTTTTTATTTTTTTTTGGTCAGTTGTGGGGCTTGAACTCAGCTCTCCCACTTTGAGCTATAGCTCTTCTTCCGGTTTTCTGGTGGTTCATTGGAGATAAGAGTCTCATGGATTTTCCTGCCTGGGCTGGGCTGGCTTTGAATGGTGATCCTCAGATCTCAGCCTCCTGAGTAGCTAGGATTGTAGGTGTGAGCCCTCAGCGCCTGGCTTTTTCCAGTCATTCTTATCTGGTGTATCATTCTGACTCTGCGGTATCTGAGGACCAGGGTCCTATAATCCTGATCTCTCACCCACCTAGCTCCCACAAAGCCATTCCCTTGCTTGCTCATCTCCAGCAGAGAAAGATTTCCTGGGCCTTTAAGTTGATTTTATTCAACATGTTAGCAATATGGATACTTTGAGACTGATTTGGGAAATGTCTCATCCTGGGTGCCTCTGTTATAATCAGTGGAGCATTTGGACCCCAGTTAATTGATGTCTTAATCCTGAGTTTAATATACCCAGAGGCAGTTTGTGACCTGTGAATATTTAAGAGGAAGGAAAAAAAAAGATTGCACAAATAAATCTCTTCCTTAGGACATCTCTGGCCATTCCAAGTCTGTAGCTAGTGATTCTGGGCTCAGAGCGACTCAGGAGTTCTTGTCCCTCTCCCTGCCTAGGTTGTCACCTTTCTCATTCAGCCGTCCCCTCTGTGCTAGATGTGGCTGTGAGACCACAGCCTCAAATACCACCTGTCACCTCTTTATCCTGCTTGGAAAACCCAAGCTGTCTTCTGCCCCTTCTGCTCAGGACCTGTCCTGAGCCTTTGTCCTCTGGGTCTGTGTGTGCTAGTTCTGGGGCTTGAACTCAGAGCCTAGGTGCTGCCCTTGAAGAGGCTAAGACCTTTGCTGTGTAGATTGTGTTTGTCTTCTGTGGGCAAAGAAACTGAGGCTCAGGAAGGCAGGATGTGTCTAGCTGCAGAGGCTGCACTGTGACTTCTGGCTGCACTGTGACTTCTGGCTGTTTATACTGGAAATGTCTGTTAGGGGGGCAGGTAGGATGAGATAGGCTGCTCTCAGACCCAGGCTCTGCAGGTGTGTGTGTGTGTGTGTGTGTGTGTAAATGTCTGTTAGGGGGGCAGGTAGGATGAGATAGGCTGCTCTCAGACCCAGGCTCTGCAGGTGTGTGTGTGTGTGTGTGTGTGTGTAAATGTCTGTTAGGGGGGCAGGTAGGATGAGATAGGCTGCTCTCAGACCCAGGCTCTGCAGGTGTGTGTGTGTGTGTGTGTGTGTGTGTGTGTGTGTGTGTGTGTTGAAGGGGTGGGGTCTCCCTGGAGGGCTCAGCCCCTGCCAGAGATCACTGACCCGCTTTACTTTTTTTTTTTTCTCTTCCCTAAAGCCGAGTGTTCAAGACAGACATGGAACTGGAGGTTTTGCGCTACACCAATCGGATCTCCAGTGAGGCCCACCGAGAGGTGAGTTGGCCGCTGGCTCTGGCTGGCAGGGGTGAGGGAGATGTAGAGGGATGGGGATGAGGCCAAGCATTGCTGTGGGCGGAGCAAGAGGACTACGTGTTTCAGCTTGACTGGAGAGGCAGGAAGCAGGGGACAGGACCAGGAGACAGGAGAGGACCAGGAGACAGGACCAGGAGAGGCGTCTGCCTTGTGAGAGGCATGACTGCTATAATCGTCACTGAACTTCTCAACAAGGCATCCGAGCTTCAGGGATGGTAGGGCTTTCCTCAGCCATCTTGGCCCTTCTCAGCTTGTTTTAAAGAATCTTTTTCATGTGTAACTATGATTCCAACATGCTTATCATCTCCTTTCTGAAAAACATCTTCACAGCATCATTTTCTAAACATCCCACTGCACAGACTGAATAAAGACAGTTGCCTAGGATAGCCTGGTGCCAGCTCAGGGACTATCACAGTTCAATGTTAGGAAATGACAAGGATGGTTGATAGGCTGTTTAATCTCTTGTAAAAATTCATTTTGTTTCTTTTCTGAGTTAAACAGAGAAAACCTTGTAGATATAGTCCGTATAGATTGCATGCTTTCCCTCCCTTTCTTTCTCTTCTTTTCCTTCCTTCCTTTTTTTTTTTTTTTTTTTTGCCAGTTCTGGGGCTTGAACTCAGGGCCTTGGTGCTGTCCCTAAGCTTCTTTTGCTTAAGGCTAACCATCTACCACAGTGCCACAGCACCATTTCTGGCTTTTTCTGTTTATGTGGTACTAAGGACTCAAACCTGGGGTTTCATGCACGATAGGCAAGCACTCTACCCAAGCCACATTGCCTGCCTGCCTGCCTGCTTTGCCTTGCCTTGCCTGCCCTCCTTCCTTTTTTCTTTCATTGGGCTTCAACTCATGGCCTCATGCTTTCACTTTGCTTTTTCATTCATGCTGGTGCTCTACCACTTGAGCCACACTTCCACTTCCTGCTTTTTGCCACTTAATTGTAGATAAGAGTTTCATAGATAAGTCTTTTCTTGCCCAGGCTTGTTTTGAACCTTGATTCTCTGATCTCAGCCTCCTGAGTAGTAAAGATTACAGGTATGAAACCACGGGCTCCTAGCAAGAAGAGCTTCTTTTGAGAAATTGCTATACATTATTTATAAGGCCATGCTGCTTAGCTGCTTAATACAAACATCTTTACTTAATATCTATCCTCCAGGTAATGAAAGCGGTGAAAGTGGGAATGAAAGAATATGAGATGGAAAGGTAAGCTGTTTCTCTCTGAGTAAAGATTAAAATGTAAAAATACCATCACCAACTCCCTCCCTCCTTGCCCTCCAGTAATTTATGTTCTCTGAGCAAGTATCAGATGAGCCTGTGCTATACTGAGTCCTGATGGAGTGGGGATTACAAGCCAGCCTTGGGATCTTGGGCAGATAGGATTTTTTCTCCTGACGGTGGCCCCCCTTCCCCGACTCTTGGCAGAGTGTTGAATGGTACTGGTCTTTGATTACTTTTCAGAGTGGTTTTAGTGCCCCATCATTCCACTCTTGGACTTTTGTTTCTGTAATCTGTAGGAAACTTTACCAAATAGCAGCTATTGTGAAGTCTTGAAAGCCACTAGTAAAACAGCTTGCCATTTTTATGTGTAAACATTGTCATTGTGTCTGTGAGCTGGGAGGGCTGGGGCGAGGGATGGTTAAGTGGCTCATAAAGTGCACTGCAGGGCTCCCCCAGCCTTTGGCTCCAATTAGGCCTGCAGCCAGTCAGCATGCCTGGTGTCACCTGACTGTGGTATCTGTGGCTAGCCGGCTTATCCTCACTCTGGGACCCAGGCATTGGTTTGCTGCTGTCGGTCACTCATACTTGTCCTGGGTCCCCTACCAGTGACCCTGCCCCCTGGGGAGGGGACACTGAAGAGTTGCTACATGGCATTTTCCTACCTGGCCTCATGAGAACTTGATTTCTGTTAGTCCTTTCGCACCTTGTAGGGTCTACGTCTACCCTAGGCTTCTTCAGGCCACTCTGTGCAGAGCTGGGGGCTGGTTGCACAATGCCATCTGCCATCTGCCTTGGCTAGGATGTGGCTTGTCCTTCTAAAGCTCAAGTGTTGGAAGGTTGGTCTTCAGTGTGTCTGTGTGAGTGGCAGTGGGCCCTTTAAGGGGGTCGGGCTTAATGGGAGGTCATTGAGTCATTGGCACACCTGACCTCTGGGTTTAAGGTAGTTCTTGTGAGATCCTGAGTTAGTTTCTTTTGAGTGAGGGTTGTTATAAAAAGAGCAAGCCTGGGCCTTGCCAGCATTCTGATTTCTTGTCTAGTGTTGTGATCTCTTTTTTTTCAACCTGTGTTCTGCCATAATGCCATCCACCATTGGGTTTCTCAAGGCCAAGCCAATGGGCTGTCTGACCTCGGCCTGTTACCTCCAAAACTGAGCTGTGATAATCTCCTTTTTTCCTTTTATAAAGTAACCTGCCTTGGGTACTTGGTTACAGTAACAGGAAAAGGATTAGTATGCCTTCCCAGCCCTCTGGCCTGCCTACTGTGTTAGTGAGGGAGGGCAAGGCTGAGGCCGAGGTTGGACTGCAGTAGCCAGCGTGCACCCCTTCGTTCCCTGTGGCTATGACTTTGGTCATAGTTAACCCAGCGAGTCTCTGTGGTTTTCTCTTATTCTGGCTGTAAGACATTAAAATGGCTTTGCTCTGGCTATTGTGACTATGGGGGTGGGGAGTGAGTGTGGGACATAACAAGTGTCCATTAGATTCCCAGCTCTGTCACACTGAGGATGGGGGGAGGGGTATGCAGGATCATGGCCCCCCTTGAGAATCTGCGATTAGGTAATAGTGCTTTGGGACCACTTCTGGAAAAGATGGGCTGGGCAGAGAGTCCCTTAGATTGCCACTGCCCCAGAAACCTGTCCTCAGTGGAGTTGACTCATAGTGACCCATAAATAATTCCCCACATAAAAATAAGCAAGAAATTGCAACAAAAATAGTTTGTCTCAGCATGGGGCCCTGCCTTCTGCGTATGCCGCAGCCTTGTACCCTGTGCTATGGGAGTTCCGCTCTGGAGTCAACTCCTGTGAGGGGCTTTGAGCCATCCTCCATCCTGAATCTCCAGCCAAACCTGCTGCAGCCTGTGGACAGGGTCCCATGGACTCTGGGCTGGACCCTGAAGCCCTGTTGGGTACTGGCTGTTTGCCATGCTCACCTGTGGCCCATAATGGAAGATCTAGTAAGACCCACGATTGTTCCTAAAGGGAAAGGGAAGGACCAGAGGGTGTAATTCCTTATAAAACCCTAAGGTGGTGGGAAGAGGGCGATCCCCAGATGTCTCCATGTCTTGGCATACCCATACTGGCTGGATTTGAAGAGGGCCTGACCCAACCTTTGGAAGCATCTGTAGCCTGGAGGTGGGCTGATTGCCTCAGTGGAGGGCATGGCCTTCTGTCACTGTCTGGTTTGCTGTGTCTGAATCCACAGGAGCCTAGAGACAGCTTCTCCAGAGCTGGAGCTGGGTCTCATCTGTCCACAGTGTCTGACCCACAGCTTGTGTTAGAATATATGAGGGGGCTGGTTCCATGGATGGATGGAGGAGGGAAATGGTCCTGCTCTATTTTTTTTCTTTAAATCATGCTCAGTACCACTGGGACCTTCAGAACTCTTAACTAGGTGGGAACAAAAGTCTTCAAAAGCAGGCAGTGTTAGTTACAAGGGGGAGCAGGGCCCTTTGAACCCTGGCTGGATTGGTCCAGGGCAGCCAGATGCTGTGCAGATCACAGGGGGTAAGGTGAGCTATTATCTGTGTTGATGGCACCCTGCACAGATGCCAGGTACCCCACAATCCCAGCCCCACAGAGGGATGCTGGAGGGGGGAGGGTTGGAAGGGCAGGAACTGGAGGAATCAGGACTGGAGGCAGGGATGGAAAACTAGCTTACCACCAGGATAGCTCAGAGGTGCTGGCCAGAGACTCCCTTCTAAGCTCTGTGTGTGTGTGTGTGTGTGTGTGTGTGTGTGTGTGTGTGTGTGTGTGTGTGTGTGTGTGTCTGTGTGTGTGTGTGTGTCTGTGTGTGTGTGTGTGTCTGTGTCTGTGTCTCTGTGTGTCTGTGTGTATGTGTCTGTGTCTCTGTGTGTCTGTGTCTCTGTGTGTCTGTGTCTCTGTGTTTTTGTATGTCTATATGTCTGTGTGTGTCTGTACTGGGACTTGAAGTCAGGGCCTTGCATTCTTGCTTAGCTTTTTCCTTCAAGGCTGGCATTCTACCACTTGAACCACAGCTCCACTTCAGTGTTTTGTTGGTTAGTTGGAGATAAGAGTCTCACAGATTTGTACACCCGGGCTGGTTTTGAACTACAATTCTCTCTCAGTCTCTTGAGTAGCTAGGATGACAGGCATGAACCATGTGCACCTGATTTTTTTCCCTTCTTAATTATCAAAGATTTATGATACAGTCTTAAGGGCCTATTAAAAAAAGAGCAAGGCAGCTGATGACATTTGGACGACACCTCCTCTGTGCTATGCCTGCAAGTTGAGATTTCAGAGGAAATGAAAATCATGTTCCGAAATTGAGGTGTAGTAAATTGTGTTAAACCAATAAGCCGTTAATGTCTGGGCAATTCAGGCTCTAACAGCATCTGACTTGCAGACCCAATCAGGCAGTCTGTTTTAACCGCCCCATATTATTTAATGTTAGTGGCGTAACCAGCTTGTCGCTGGCTGGCATGGGGCTGGCACCTGAATCAATTACCTGCAAACACTAATTTAGAGCATGCTCAATTGGCTGTGTAAGCAGGTCCTGGTTACATTTGCCATGAAGAGATTAATAACTTGATGCTTTTGACAGCTTGGGACTTTAATTGGAATTAGGCTTTCCTTCCCTTCAGGCTGCAAATGGGCCAAGTGGAGTCCATTTGGTGACAGCTGGGAGGGGGAGGTGACAATCATTTAAAAGACAGGTTCTGTAGGGTGTGATAGGGTCTGTGTGGCCTTTTCCATGTCCCTTGGGTGGGAATTTCCTCAGCAAATAGTCTGGAGACCCTTGATAAGGCCTGGGTTTTGTTTTTCCCTGGGTTCTCTCATCCCACATAGCAGCCTCTCCTGCGTGTGTGTGTGTGTGTGTGTGTGTGTGTGTGTACACTAGCATTTGAACTCAGAGCCTGAGCACTGTCCCTTAGCTTTTTCCCTCAAGGCTAGTATTCTACCACTTGAGTCACTTCCAGCTTTTTGGTGGTTGATGGAGATAAGAGTCTTAACTGACTTTCCTACCCTGGCTAGCCTGGAACTGTGATCTGAGATCTCACCCTCCACAGTAGCTAGGATTACAGGCATGAGCCACCAACGCCCAACTTTCTGCTTTCTTTTCTTTCTTTCTTTTTTTTTTTTCCTTGGTCATGGGGCTTGAACTTTGGGTCTGGGTACTGTCCCTTAGCTTTTTCCCTCAAGGCTGGTATTCTACTACTTGTGTCACAGCTTCACTTACAACTTTTTGGTGGTTGATTGGAGATAAGAGTCTCACAGACTTTCCTGCCCTAGCTTGCTTTGAATTATGATTCTCAGATCTGAGCCTCCTGAGTAGCTAGCACCCAGCTAAAACTGTCTTGAACATCGTGTGTGTGTGTGTGTGTGTTGTGTGTGTGTGTGTGTGTGTGTGTGTGTTCCGGTCACAGCACTTGAAATCAGGGCTTGGGCTCTGTCCCTGAGCTTCTTTTGCTCAAGGCCACTTGAGGCACAGTGCCACTACTTCCGGCTTTTTCTGTGTATGTGGTATGAGGAATCAAACCCAAGGCTTCATGCATACTAGGCAAGCACTCTACCACTAAGCCACATTTCCAGCCTCTGCTTTTTTTTAGGCCTTTGTTAGTAAAGAATTTACCCAGCTGTGATTTTTTTTTTAATTTAAGGTCTTATTGCTTTTTCTGCCCTTTGGACAAATGTAGGGGATCATGATCATCCTATGTATTCAGTGTACCTGTCCATCTTCAGGGAGGGAGAGAGGGAGAGGAGCAGTTGTGGGTTTTCATATCCCAGCACACAACCTCACAGTACCTTAAATCTACACACCTGTGTATATACCCAACACACACACACACACACACACACACCCTCTCTCTCTCTCTCTCTCTCTCTCTCTCTCTCTCTCTGACAGTCCCCATATCCACTCTTGCCATACCATACTCTTCATGCATATTCCATCCAGTCAGGTGCTGGTGCTTCATGCCTGTAATCTTAGCTACTCAGGAGGATATCTAAGATCCTGGTTCAAAGTCAGCCT